TTCTGTTGTCAAAGACACCGTTTGAGCTATCCATGGGCGCGGAGCCGTTCGCATTTGTGCCGTCTGGAACGATAGTTGGATTCTCGGTCGTGTGGACGCCGCCAATTGTATGGCCGCAGGCTGTGACTTGAATCATCTCCTGTGGAGTGAATCCCATGCGATTGAATTTTGAGTTGAAAACTTGGATTACTTCGTTGGGCTGCGGTACACCGGCGGCTCCTTTCACGGTTGCGTCGATGCGGCCGGATCGGATTGCAACTGAGGGACCGCCGCACGATAGGACGGAAGTGTAGACTCCTAGAGCGATGAGATCCGACATGCTGCTTTTGCGGGTCAGGTAATGTCCCATGAAGGTCAGAGTTGTCGAGAAGGCAGGTCCGGTATTCTCGCCGGTGCTCGACAGCTCATACTGTATTGATGCGTCCAACCCGCCAACTCCTGCCCCCGCGTTGGCCGGTGCCATATCGTGAAAAGCGGTTCGCAGCCATTCTGCAGCAGTCTGGCGGCCGGTGCCCGTTGCCTCCTTGGCGCAGGGGAAGACGTTGTCGGCAAAGTGTCTTGATCCGAAGTTGAATGACTGGTACATGATCTCTTCCAACTCGTCAATATCCGAGGGCCAGGTCGGATCAGCCTGGGCCTGTGAGGCCAAGCCAAGCAGGCTCAATAGTATTGAGGAGTTCACCTTCATGGTGGTATGCTACCTCGACTACGAGGAAACCGAATTACAAAGTGTAGTGCAAGTGAGTGACTTGGTCGTCCGTAATAGTGACGGCTTGACCTTTGAATTAGGGCACTATAAAGGCATAGATAGAACAAAGAAAGTGTAAAGGATGTAGAAGAAGAAGGCGAAGCGAGGGAGGTGAGAGGAAACAGAGTTGAGATAATGGCCCATGGCCGTTAGATATGAGAGACATGGTTTGAAACGACACCAGAACCGCGAAGGAATAGACAAAGAGATGCGGCAACGACTTTTTGCCAACATACACGAGCCGGCCGTCGGAACCGTGGCGACCTGACCGCAGGAGACGGATGATCTAGGCACTCTGGGCAGGCCTAGGCTGTTGTGGGGGGCTCTATCGCCAGCAAGGGCAGTAGTCTCCGTGTATGCTTGGTATACGGAGTAGCGCCAAAAGAGAATGGCGGCACAGCTTGATATTGCCCTGGTTTGTGACCTGTGGGAAGAGTGAGTGAAGCCTGGGTGGAAGGGAGGTAAGTCCCCTGCTAGTGAAAGTCCCTTGAAGTGAGGGTGAGAGTGAGAGTGAGGGTGAGATTGATGGTAAGGGTGAGAAATTGAGAGTGAGTTCTTCGTATTTTTGGCAGAAATTGCCAAGGGTGCTGGGACCCCTCTTTCCCTTTTCGATTTAGTGCCAACCTCGCATTGGATGGATCAAGATAAATCGGACAACACGGCCGTCGTGATTGGCCGCGGGCATTTTGTGGCTGCTGTCGGTGCCAGCCGCAAAACCAGGGGTGCTGGGGTGACGATCCCCTGCCCCTGAGCACGGCTTACTTTACTTAACCTTAATCGGTTGGTCCAACTCTTCGAGATGCCCTCCAAAGGGTTTTCTGGAGAGGGAAATGGCCCAATGGTGCGTCGAGCAGTAAATTGCATCCCGACATTTTGGGTGGTGGTCTTGGCCTGGTGATGTTTGGGAGGTGGGAAAGCCCCCTTCTCGGCATTGCCTCAGCAGGCCGAGTCAGCCAGGCAAAGCACTCTTGCACTTCGAGGCCGGCGAGCCGCGAGCCTGACTTCTCCTCCGGTTCGTATGTTTGGTGTGGCATCCTTGCCCCTGCCCTGCGTTGCCGATGCCAAACTATTGATGCCATGTCAACCATGGCGCTCCAGCTGATGCTGCAGAACGCATGCATCTCTTGTCTATATTGCAGCTTGCGTAATGCTCCCGACCTCACGCGCAGGATCTTTATCAATCCGGGGATTCGATGATAGCGGAGAGGGGTTCATGCGGAAGAACAAATCAGGACACGGACAGTTTGGCTGACGATACCTCGCAGATTCGGCTCCGACGGCAAATTAGTTGTGTCTATCCGTACCAATGTTTACTGTTTTGGACGTTGACAGCACATGAGAAGTAGGCAGCCATTAGTACAGGGACTGAGCATGAGGAACCTTTTGAAAGGGGACCACAAACCCGCAATTTCTGGACACGCGCCAGATATCTTCGAGTCAGGGAGACCGATTTCTGCTCGCCTGTCCCGTCAATACTGGAACCCATCTCCCGCTGTCATCCCATCACAAAAGTTGCCAAGACGCTCTTGCCATGTTGAAGTCTGCCCAGCTTGGTTTCTCCACTTGGGCTGGGAGCGGGCTTTGCAAGGACAAGTACTTGAAGACTCCTCCAGATTGCGAGGGCTGAGAAGTTGTCATGGCGGCCAATTGTGGCTGCTGTTAGTGGAAACGTACTATCGTTTTTCGCCGCAATGTGGGAAGGGGCAAATAAACTGTCAAGCTAGCCCTTCCCCACGACCCGAGCACCATATTACCTCCTGGATAGCGCGCGGTTTGCCCACCTGCTCGGCGTCGTGATTCGGTTCGTGGTTCCCTGATGACAAGATGGGACAAAGAATGTCATCCCCACACCGCAACTTTACCCACTGACTGCTCGGCCAAGGGTAGCAAGGCTGAACAAAGCCAAACACGCCAGGCCAGGCGAGACAACAATCTATTATAGGCTTCACAAAGAAAATCCAACGGCGAAGAATAGCTGCCAAGTCGCACCGCGCTAGAACACGAGCTCGATTCGAAGAGACCTCTTTCCGATGTTCCACCTTGTGCGCCCGCCAATACGGAATATGGCTCAACATCGTGTTGAGGAGCACCATCCGGCGGGGGCTGGTTCGCTGATGCCTCCGATAGGTTCTGCAAAGGTGGTTGGCGGTCAAGGAATGTCGGAATGCGCCGAACAACCAACATCGCCGAGGGAATCCACGGCACAAAAGTCCCAGACAGGCACTGTTGATAATGGAAGGTAGAGGGACCTAATGCAACTGACCGGCCCCACACCGGGGCACCGGTACGGAACACCATGTGCCGGGGCCTCGGTGCCAGCAAGGAAAGCGGGGCCGTTGCCGTCCGTCAAACCCCTCGCCCATTCACTCAACGCCGGTATGCTACGGCCAAACGCTTTCCGAAGCCATAGCAGGGCTGGAATTCGCCGAGGGCAACAGCAAAGTCATCGACAGTCTTTGACCAGCCACCCGCAGCTCTCTGAACGCCCCATCGGAAGCCTACCTGGAAGGCGCACGATCCGAAGCGCCCAAAGCCGGAAGGCATTCAATTCCGCAAGACATTACACAAACACAAACGGCGTCTCGTCTCGGGATTTTACGGTTTCTTTGCAACCCAAGATTGTTTCCCAGCTACACTCCAGGTTGACAACTGTGGTGTTTTGTCTAGATGCGAGGAACGTCACTGTCGAGTGAAAGCCCTGGGCTAGTTCTCGGACGAACCCTTCTTGCCCAAAAGGAAGTCGTGTAGTCCTTCTTTCTACCGGTAATTTTCTCGGCGGGCCGAGGCACTTGGCTGGAATTTGACATCACAAATCTCCGTCGAAATCGTCCGATCGTCGACGGCTTAAAAGCCGCCGCTATGATTGCCGTCGGCGCTACCCGTCAGACAATGCGTCGATAAAGCAGGCAATGACATAATGTGACCGGATCGAGAGCAACAGACCGACTTGACGCCTAGTCCCAAAAGACCAATAGGCCATCGCCAAGATGGTGAAGGAAGCAGTAACTGTGAGAACAGTGCTGACTGCGCTCTTATATACAAGTTGGATGAACAAATAGCAGTCGCCCATATCTCTTCGATGCAGCGATTATGTCGGAGCTGTACAGAAGAGTGCTCTCGAATTTCTGGCGGGCGGGCTTTTCCACGATCTGGGGAAACCCTGACATGACCAGGGGAAACGACCAGGACCGTGCAAATCCACAAAAAACCTGGCAGCGGGAAGAACAAACTCTACGCGAAACTTAACGGAGAAGAGACGTGCCGTGGTTGCATAGCTGATCATCAATTATCTCATGAGTAGGACCGCCCTTGCAATTGGGTGCCGGCCCGCCAATGATCTTCAACAGCCCAGACCAGGCCTTTAAACCGAGACATACTAGAGCGACGCGTACAGTACACTAAGGGATGTCTTTCAGGTATACGCATGAGCTGGCAAGACCAAGACAGAGACAGGATCAAAACCGGATCCAGCGGGGTTGAACGTAGTCTCAAGTTGAGCAGACGTTTATTCCAGATGTGACAGGAGTTCTGAATGTGGGCATTTGCAACACTCGCAGTCTGCCAGTATGGATACACAAACGCCGGGAAATCAGGCATAAATCCGAGAAGCTGCTCCGAGAACCGTCCAAAGGGAGATGATCCCGGGAAAGCTGAAAAACTCTGCCGTTCTTAAACTCTAGCCGTCTTGGACATGAAGCATCCCAGGGCTCCACGACGTCTTGGTATACTGTAGGTTTTTAGTCATGAACACCACCTTTACAACGTCAACATACGGGTCTGGGCTCTGGGCTATCCCGTGCGAGCCGATGAAAAGTGAAGCCAACCCTGGCATGGGAAGCTAGGGGGCAGCGGAAACTCTCAGTCACAAGTCACATCAAAAGCGAAAGGTAAAATGGGAAGACCCCTGGGAAACCGAGCGATCCCGGTCCCCACACCTTCCAGGTTCACAAAGTCATTCGCCCCGCCAAAGCCACAGACAACTCCACCACCGTGGCCGTGCCGGCCCTCCGGCACAGAAGAAGTGGAGAATCCGTCCTGGCTCCGGCCCAATCACGGCGACGTCTATCCCTCCAAGACGACTGACATCATCGGGACCCACTTGCCCACAACCCTCATTCAGCCACAACGGCCTCCGTCATCAACGTCTGCAAACAGCGCCCCAGACCAAGAACCTGACGCCTGTCCTCCGTCATTGGGCGAATTGGCTTCAAACTTTGGGGGTGTTGGTGTGTGTGGTCAATACACCGACAGTGTGCGCAGTATCCATAGAACGTAAAGAACATGTTCCAGGAATAAACGGGGATGGGGCGGAGACAGCCAGCCCAAGACAAGCTTGAACAGCGCTGGACCTTGCCACGATCTACGCAATGGAGCGGGATCGGGCAGTCCATTTACCGGCAGACGGAGCAGGGAGGCAGCCCTTGTTTCCTTTCTTTCCTTCCATTTAACCTTTAATTCTTAAGGGTCTCGAACCTCCCTCCCCCCATTCGTTCACCTTGCCTCTATCTCATCCCACCTCACCTTTGGTATCCAGGGTGTAGACTTGAACAACAAAAAAAGGAAAATCCGCACAAAGTCAACCAAACAAACAAGTTTCCGTCTACACTGAACACATACAACCAGTCGGCCGAACCAAAGAAACAAAAAAGGAAGAAGCTCAACACACGCCGCAACAATGGGCTTCGCATTAAAATTCCTCCAGTGGTTCATCCGCGGCGTCCAGCTAGGCTGCTCCGTCCTCATCCTCGCAACCTTCTCCTACTTCCTCGCGACCCTCCACAACCACTCCCTCCCGATATCGAACTCTATCCGCGCCGTCGAGGGCATCTCGGGCGCCGCCACCCTCTACACTCTTGTCGGCCTCCTGCTGCTCTGCTGCCTCGCGGGGCTCGCCTTCACCTCCTTCATCGCCATCGTCCTCGACGTCGCCTTCATCGGCGCCTTCATCTACGTCGCCGTCGCAAACAAGGGCGGCGCCGGAACCTGCTCCGGCACCGTCAGTACCCCCTTCGGCGACGGCCCCGCCGACGGCGAGCCGACCAACACGGGAAGCGACGGCTGGACTCACCTCCCCAGTCTGCGCACGGCTTGTAAGCTGCAGACCGCCTGCTTTGCAGTCTCCATTGTCGCAATGTCAGTGTACTATCACCACTTTTGAAAGAACTCAGCTAATACATTCATATAGTTTCTTCTTCATCTTCTCCATTCTCGTTGAGGTCGCCCTCGCCCGTCACCACCGCAAGGAGAAGCGCTTTGGCCCCAGCCCCAAGAACAACTACACCTCGGGTTCGGGTACCAAGCCCGGCTTCTTCAGCAGCTTCCGTCGCCGTGGCCGCGCCGACGCTGCGACCAACGACAATGCGCTACCCATGCACACCAGCCCCGACCAGGTCCGCCCCAGCTACGCCACCGAGACCACCGCCGTCGCCCAGGATGCCGGCTACCCCAAGTACGAAGGCGCCTACGGCAACACCACAACGGCGACTGGCGGTGCCAACGGCTATGAGTACGGTCACGAGACTGGAACCACGCAGCCGCCCCCTCGGCACTACAACGATGGTGTTTACGACAGGGTTTAGATACGACTGAGACAGGAATTGAAACGAGACCACATAATGAGTTGAAGGAAGAATTGAAACTGGTCTAGGTTGGCAAAGATACCCAGGAAATTGAGGAGTTTTTGCCGTCGCTTTCGAGACGATGGCTTCTTGTTGCATTTTAGTCACGAATCAATTGATCACGTACATACATTGACCCAATCATGCACATAGTGAACTTGTTTGACTAATACTGTTGTCCTTTGATCGTGACTACGTTCGTAAACGTCATAAACTGCGTTTGAACCTCTGTGAGTGAGGCATTCGGTGCCTGGGTAGATTTATCTCCCCCAAGGGATCGCCCGGCACCGACCTTTAGCTTTTAATAACCTATTCCAGACACTCGTCAAGTGTCAGCATACCTCGTAACTTTGACGCTCAGGGTAATTTCATGGCCAGCCGGCCGCATCGTGCTCCCACTCACTATTTGCGCCATCGTCGGCCCCGACATCAGCCCAATTCATGTCCAGCTTCTCCAGCTCCCTTGTGAAAAAGTCTTGCTCCTCGCGCAGGGCCGCCCGTAGCTCGGCCGCAATCTTGTCTGGGTATCGCCGCACATTGAACCAGTGCGTCAGACTGCGCAATGCTTGCTCCAATGGCAGCGCCGAGTCCACCTCGGCATCAACGTCGCTGCCAGCTAACCACTCGTCACGCAGTTCAGGTCGGCAGTGTAAGTACACCGCCGTGATGACGCGCATGTTGCTCTGCCGCCACTTACGGCCGCAGTAGGGTACTTGGTTCTTGAACAGCTTCAAGGTGTATAGTCGGAGTTCTGGCTGGGGGATCTTGAGGGATTTGCGGAGGATGTTGGCAGATTTGTACTGCACCAGGAGAAGGTTCCGGTGAGCTTTGTGCTTGCAAATCTTTTGCATGATTCGCAGGTAGTTGATTAAGGAGAAGAAGTTTCTTCTCGAAAAATCAGTGATGGGCTCTGCTGGCAGGTCGCCGACAGGATATCCGAGCTCATCAACTTCAGGTCGCACCGCAGCTTGTCCTTCAAGCTTGCTGGTGTCGTCGCCATCGCGGGTAGCGGCAGTCGCGACGCGAGGCGGTGATCGCCTTCTCTTGATAGGTGGTGGCGCCGCTTCGTCCTCGCTCTCCTCCTCGTCCGGCTCTGCTTGTACAGGCGACTTCTCCTTGAATTTCGACCGCAGATTGCAGAAGTGGAAGAAGCTGATTAGTCAGTTTGTGTCGCGCGAGGATTGGTAACAACACACACCTGTTCTCTAGCCGGTCCGTTTTGCTGTCGACAACCTGTTGAACATCCTGATGGGCGAATAACTTGAGCACCAGCGGGAGGTAGTTAGAATCCAGCAAAAGTTGCGTCATGTACTCGGATTTCAAGATGTCTGCGGCCTGGTCAGTTTATGCCTCGGGTGGGACCAAGCATACTCACGAGAGACTCTGAGCCACTTCAATAGAAGCAGGAGAATACCGGTAATGGCCTTTGTAGTGATTTCCCGGGATCGCGCGGCATCGACCTCCTCCGGTGACATCTCAGGGAGCTCTGGAGGGCCACCTCCCGCTGAAGAGGGATCTTGGGGCTGCTGTTGTCTGTTAGGTCCAGCGCCGCCATTCATACCGCCATTGGCACCTCTGCCGGCCATGCTTGGGTGTTGTTGGCCTTGCGGAGGTTGCGACAACACAGCGGTGACGTTCATTAGTATCGGCCTCAGAAGGACGATTACAAGCGACTGCAGATGAGGGAGAGATTCTTTCTGCCGAAGTGTTAGTAAAACTCAGCTCAAAGTACCAAAACACTCACGTAGAAGCTTTCGACAGCAAGCAGACGTCGCTTGATCTCAACGTTGACTTTATCAGCCGAAGGGCCGCAGTCGATTTCGGGCTCCCGCATCGAAAGTTGCGCTTCTCTACGTTCCTCAGCTTTGGTCTCTGCCTTGAACGCAGCAATCTCCTGCTTCTCTTCAAGGGTCAGCCCCTCAAGGTCGAGGTTATCAACATCACTGTCGTCGCCATCTGCTTCCCATCCTCTCTCGAATCTGAGGAAGCTTTCGCGCTCTTCCCACAGCTGCCGTGTAGCACGGGTCATGCGAACCCTCTTGGCAAATAATTCGCCCGCCTCCAAGATGGACGCAGGAATATCACTGCCCTCCCACCTGCGACCAACAAGCTGTTCCTGCAAGCCAGCCCCACCTTTACCACCAGCGCTGTTGCTTGTGGCATCTAGAGGCGGGTACATGAAGGGGAAGTTCTGGTTCGTCTGGTAGTTTTGCTTTTTGCCGCCCTTGCCCCCAACACCAGGAGACGGCGGCGGTGATGGAGCCGGTGTCGCAATGTGCACGGGTTGATGCAAGATGGAAGCGCCGCCGCTTTGTGAGGTGGGCGGCCCGGGGAAAATCCCATTGGCTGCGCTTGTCCTCGTGGGCTGATTTGGAATGGGTGGAAGAAGGGTCGTGTTCTCAGGTTCTAGAGGAATGAGCGTCCGCGGAGGGACATAGGCCGGATACTTGGATGTAAGCTCTTGCCGGAACACATGGTAGTCTAGAGGCGACCGGATACTTGGATGTAAGCTCTTGCCGGAACACATGGTAGTCTAGAGGCGATGCTGTGATAAAGTCTTTGGACTTTGCATTGGGCGATTCATTTGTTGCCTTCTTCGCCTCGTCCACCTCTTTTGTGCCGCCGAAAACGAGGAGAATAGTTTTCCAGAAGAGCAAAAAAATCTATACTTGTTAGTATGGATTGTGTGCGGCACCAATCATCGTACCTGGCTGGATGGCATCAAGTTCCCATCGTCCCAACGCAGCTTCGAGGTTGCGAGTGACATAAAATCAACCAGTCCAGGTTTGAGAGAAACTAGCAGCAGTTAGTCGAGCCTTTCCTAGATCGATAGAGTACGAGTGACTTACGAAGCTCGGATCTTGTAGCCTCTAGCTCATTGGGGAAGCTCAGTGCCTCCTGAATAATGACATACATGATGGTCATAAGATTAATAAGCTCATCCTGGGCCTCTTGGGCGCCGCCGGGCTGGACGAGACGAGCATCATCCGACCTGCTTGAGTTAGCTTACATTGTAAGACAAACCGCCCGGACTACTCACCAAAATACATCAAAGCAACTTTGCAGAGCCGACCAAACAGTGTTAATGCCGTCCAAAGAGGTTAAGAAGCTGATGCTTGATCTGATAGCCTCCAATTGTGTCGCACTGGCAGCCGACCTCCTGTCACCTACAGTGTCAGGCGTCGACGTATCGCCCCATCGACCTAGCACTAGGTACAGAACTTTGCCAATATGCGCAGAACGTTGTGTCGGGTCCTTGACTTGAAGACCATCTAGGGCATCTAGCGTGAACTTGGCCTTTGTCTGGTGGTCCGTCTCTTCCCAAGTTGTCTGTATGTCGTAATCGTGCTGCCACTGCCATTCGAAAGCTCGCTGAGCAGCGTTCAATCGCACCCATTGCCAAAACTGATAAACAAACCATTCGTCAACCTCCTCGTCGTGGACACCCATGTCATTGTAGACGAAATCGTAGGCGACAGGCTCGCCACGACTGAACTCGGCAACGATTTTACGAAGCTGCAATAACGACAGTGAGTCGGTAGGCTGCTGGGGTTCGGGCGCAGGAGGCATTGGGGCCGGGGGTATCGGAACTGGGGCCGGAGCTGGAGACGGTGCAGACGAGTTTCTCTGCAAGGACGGTCGTGGAGGAGGAGGAGGAGGAGGTGGATTGCTTGCATCGGGACCAACGTCTGCGACAACAGCATCCGCTACCATGGCATCTGTAACATCGCCAGTCGGTGGAGGTTCGTTTTCGGCGGCGGCGCCATCGTTGGCAGGCCGCGATGGCCACAGAGAGTTCATCCTGTGAGGAAGTGTATCATGCTCTAAGAGGTTGTTGGTAGACAAGGAGCAGTCGAGTGTGCTTCATCCGGGGAGATTTACGGAACGAAGAAGGAACACCTCGCGTCAATAATGTGTCGAATCGTGTTGCGGGCGAAGTTTCGGTTGCTCAGCGCGAAAGCATTCTGACGTGGTCGTGGTGAAGATGCAGCTACCAGGAGGGATGCTGTTTGCGCAGCAGCTTGTGATTGGTCAAACAGCTGCTTCTTGGTGATTTGGCGGGGTGTACCTCAATAGACGACCCAGCTCCTTATCGCTTATCGATTGTCGCATGTCTTATCTGGTAGAACATTGGGTACCTCTTTAAGGTACCTAAGGTAGGTCATCTCCTCTTAGGGTATCATCCGGACTTTCCAGTAAATACCTTACCTGCCATACGGAGTACTTGGGATAGGGCATTCCTCACTCGAACAGGAAGTGGAGGAGTGACATGTGCCTGGCGACGCTTGTCGCTTACATTGCATTGCATGGGCAAATAAACTCATTCGAGGCGGCCAAGGTGATGGAGTGATCGTCTCATGTTAGATACCGGTAGTACGCGAGCAGCACCACCCGATGTTAATCAGCAGTCAGCAACCCAATGGGTGTCTAGCTTTAGATCCTTACTGCGCAGACTTTCCCCCAAGAGTAAACAGATGGTCATGCGGACGTCCGCAAGGTCAACTCGGTTGGTTTTAGGTCTTGACCCGTTGGCTACCTGGCGCCTACCTCTTTCTTGATTCCCTGGTGTACTATATCTCAATCACAGAGGTAAAGTGCCGAAGGACTGCAAAGCTGACAAGTGCAGAAATATAAAATTCTTGGTGCGTTTACTTGGCCAGCCCGTGAACCAGTCTGGTTCTGAGGTACGAGTCCCACCGCCTAAAACAGCAACGACGTCAGCGACTTGTCCCCCTACCGCACCGGTTCTTCGGCAGCACAGGCCATGGACAGCAGATAGGTAGGCCCCCCACCTCACTAATCCTGCCCGCAGGGAGGAAATCGACTTCCATGTTGGTCAGCTCGGCCCACTCCGGGCGAACCAGCACCCTAATGCCTACGGACGATGCTGCAATCATCACTAACACCTTGGCCCCGCTGATTGAAGAAGCTTCCACCCGTTGAAGCTGAGGTGGGCAGCTCTTACTCTGCAACCTCTTCTACCTCTTTAGTTTCCTTGGATAAATTTACCTATCACTTCTCCGAGTCACGCTTTTTAGAACCAAACCTTTGTTCACTCATTGTCTGAGCCTCGGCATCGGCAGCAACCTGGATCCTAGTTTCTTTTCATTCATACTTTCGGGAAACGTGCCTCGGGGTTACAATCGCGAACACTCTCTGCATGCCCAATTGCCTCATTGCCACTGCATATGGGCACTGTACGACGCAAAGAAGAGAGAGACAGCAGCTTGATAACTTTCTCTTTGCGAACGCGGTCGAAATAAACCTTCAATTTGCCGACGATTGAGCCTGCTTTTCAACGTTCTCAAAACCACTTCCGTTTTCAATCCGCTGCTAGTGCTGTGAGACCGCATCGAAGTCGTCTACAAGTACCAACCGCGATCAAGCTACCCCGCCATCGTCGCGACTTTGCCAACTTGTTTCGCCTTCTTCGTCATTGCGACGCTCTTTCTGCAGCAAATGGGTGCCGAGACTACCAACGACGAGACGGAGAAGCGTGTTGGCTTTGAGAAAGAGGAGGATGCGCACTCAAGCGGAAGTGACGATGACTACCAAAAGGCTGTTGAGGTATGTGGATTTGCAAGCATCATACCAAACAGCATGCCTTGTATTAAGACTGTGATAGGTCACTTTTGATCCTGGAAACCCTTACCGGCGCAAAAGCTCTCTAGTCACGTCAGAGTCTTCCAGACCTTTGCCGCGACACCCTAGCCAGAGAACTGAGTGCATCGTACACCAGTTCCTCGAAAGCCAGAGAAAAGCTCGAAACGCGGTAGCCTCCGCCAGCAACCATGGTTCTCGGTCGAATTCAGTATCAAGCGCCTCGAAAGCAACCACGGACAACTACCACCACGGTCATCCCACTTATGAGAACTCTCATCGACATGTCGGTGCCTGTGACGTATCTGGGGAATCGAGCATGTCGAAGACTGTTGAGCCTAAGGGACGGCTCGCTAAGCAAAGAGCGTCTATTCTGGCTGCCGATAGCCCCGAAGGCAGTGACGTTGGCCAGGCCGACGAAAAGTCCTGGCGATCCGAGATTACCAAGTCTGCTTCGCAAATCGACCTCGCCCATTCTGACGACGACGACGAGCTGCACAGCCGACTACTCACCAAGAAGCAGCTTAGTGAAATGGCTTGGGGAGTCCGAGAGCTTAGCAGACGGCTCAGCAGTATGCGCATCAGATTCCGCGTAAAGACGATTTTTCTCCTGACCAAGATCCACGATGCGGATCTGATCGCGCGCACACGGGAACTGACCAAATGGCTCCTGTCACATGAGCGGGATGTTGTGTATACAGTCTACGTGGAAGAAAAGTTCAAGGACAACAAAAAGTTCAATGCAACGGGGATAGTTGAAGAGCTCAAGAAAGGCGTTGCCGAGTCGGGAGCATCGAAACCTGGGACAAGCGAGGAAGGCATATCGAAGCGTCTCCGGTACTGGAATGAAGACATGTGTCGGAACCGGCCGCACATGTTCGACTTTGTCATTTCATTGGGCGGCGACGGTACCGTACTCTATGCCAGCTGGCTATTCCAGCGCATTGTCCCGCCGGTGCTGAGCTTCTCCCTCGGCAGTTTGGGTTTCCTGACGAAATTCGATTTCGAGGACTACCAAAGCATCCTCGAGAATGCCTTCAATAAGGGTGTTACAGTGAGCTTGCGGTTGCGGTTCGAGGGAACCATCATGAGGAGCCAAACGAGGAAACAACTGGTGGACGGTGATGAGAGCAGCTCGAGCCAAGACGACGACGGGCGAAAGCTTGACCTCGTCGAAGAGCTAGTGGGCGAGGAGAGGGAAGATGAACATACCCACAAACCAGACGGAACTTTTGAGATATTGAATGAGATTGTCGTCGATCGTGGTCCAAATCCAAGTAAGTCCTCGACCATGCTTCCCTGCCGAGCGAACTCTAGATTGCTGACCCTGTGACCCCAATAGCAATGTCGTACACTGAAATTTTCGGTGACGACGAACACTTCACCTCCGTTTTGGCAGACGGCATTTGCGTTTCGACCCCAACGGGCTCCACCGCCTACAACCTGGCGGCCGGCGGCTCACTCTGTCACCCAGAAAACCCCGTCATGCTCGTAACTGCCATCTGCGCACACACGCTCTCGTTCCGTCCCATCATCCTACCCGATACCATTGTTCTTCGTGTAGGCGTGCCCTACGACGCGAGGACCAACTCGTGGGCCAGCTTCGACGGCCGCGAGCGCGTTGAGCTATTTCCCGGAGACTACGTGACGATCAGTGCCAGCCGTTATCCCTTTGCCAGCGTCCAGGCTCAGGGTCGGCGCAGCGAAGACTGGGTCAACAGTATCAGCGGCAAGCTAGGGTGGAATACGCGCCAAAAGCAAAAGGAATACAAAGAATGGGAGAGGTAGATCCGTTCGTCCAGGGAATCAACGACCAACGATAGAAAGTCCAGAAAAGTTCCACGATACCCAGAGTCCAAAGGCTTGGCTTCGGATAGCAACTTTCCGAGCGACTGTCAGTCGGCAAGCTGTCACCACAACCAAGAGCTCACATGGTCGCACACAGACGACGAGGATGGGCACTTTGGCACATTTCAAATCTTTTGTCACTTGCCGCGTGGCCAGCCCAAGAAGAAAGCACACTCACTGCAATTACAGTTCTGCCCTACGGAGGACTATAAATCCAAACGCCAAGCCCCGGAGATGGTCCACGTCTTCGAGAGAACCTCTTTCTGAGTCTTTCAGAGGTGAGAACATCCCGTCTTCGGGAGGGTGGCCACTTGGCCTCCGAGAACGAAGGTCGACTAGGTTCACGAACGCAACTAAGCTTTGCCTTTAAGCTTGGCACTACGTCTTTCAGCCTAGCCTGAGTGCGATGTGAGTTGCGAGCAAGAGAGGATGAGCTCCGAGAAATCATAGCAACACTGCCGTCTCAGTAGCAATTCATTTGTCCATATGGCTTCGAGGCGGGCTCAGGGCGTCGTTTTCGTGCTCGCCATTTACGATTTTTTCTCCCACGTTGGTCGATATTCCTCCATCCCATCAAGTCTACAACGAGAAACAGCCCGACAAGCAGACTGTGCGCAGGAAGCAGACAACATCACCCGGACGATGGGCAGACATACTCATCTCTGCGGGTGTCAAGGTGTTTCCTCCCCCCAAAGACACGAAGGGAAAACCGCAAACCCAGGGCAATCCACGCCAAACCCGACAAAACAAACGCGGCAAGCTAAAACACCGACCGGCGTCACCCGCCCAACCTCGCTGGCCCTACGACTCACAGAGCAGGGCACCTTACCCAAGGCCTTGCCCTCACTTACGAATAGGCCGCCCGCGGGCTTTCGCAGCGCATCTATTGCCCGCTCGGTCGTACCCGCGGATACCCTTGGTCATGGGTCTGGCTTCTTCCCTTGGCTTCCTCTTCCTCCCACCTCCCGCAGAACCAGGATGGCCCCTGAGTCGTGCGCTGACAAAGGAAACGCTACAATTCTCCTATTGGGTCTTTTTTCCCCCTGGGCGATTTCAGCATGGATACCGCCGATGGGTTGTATGCGGCTCTAATAGTATCTACTAGGGTGATGGGACTTGTGACAGATGCTGCGACGTCCCGCTGGTCCCATGTTCGCCGGCAACACAATGGAACGTCTCACAACCACAACAACTCGGAACCGATCGCCATACGTCCACAGGCGGTCAATCGGCGGCTTTTTTTGCCCTTTGAGCTGCAGGTTCCACATAATGCCTACATGTTTTTTTTATGCAGGAACCGCCACGCAGAGCCGACTTCTGGTCGATTTTTCGCTTGAGACGAAACAGGCATTTTTGATTTCCGGTCGTTTCTACCAAGGTATGCTACATGCACTAAAAAAAGGAACTCTCGAGGAAAGCATAGCAGACAGAAGTCGGAGCTATCAATAATCGCTGGGCAATGTTTGGGTAGATGGCAAAGAGGTATTTTTTGAGATAGAGAAGAACAAGAAGAAAAAAAAGGTCCAGATACACAACCACTCGATACGCCGCCGCCGCCGCTGCCCGCCACAGCTAGTAAGGAGAAATAACGTTTCCAACTATCAGTGAGGATTGTACACGCCGAATGCTAGTGATTTGTCTAGAACGAACACCCACACCACCTTTCCCAAAATGTTTGATATCATGGCGTAAAAATAAAAAAGACAAGGAGGTTTTGAGGCCCGTAAAAAGCGAAGGCAAGCCGAGACCCATTGTGTGTACGCGTGAGCCGTTTGTGTATAGTGAGCCGATTACTCAGGCGAGTGAAGAGTAGCGGAAGGATCTCGGCGAGGGATTAGGGCTGAGGCCGGGAATCGTAAATTTTTGAATGAGGTAAGGAGGCGAAGAAACAAATCGTGGCAACGTTCTCAATTTTGGGGGTTTGGTTGAATAAACTCTTTTTGGGTTTCCAGGATTACACACGTGAGAAGAGCAATCTACTGCTCATCCTCCACATCATCGGCCTGAGTCTCGACAAAGGTCATGGTGACGCCCTCACCGCTGACGTTCAGGTTGACGGTGTCAATGGCACCGCCGCTGACGCCTCGTGAGTTAAGCTCCTCAACTGCGCGCTTGACGACGTTGTTGTTGGTGGCGGGAACGACTTGGGAAACAGGGACGGAAGGATCGCGGGCAACGAGCTTCTCAGGGGTCATCTCGACGCCTATTCCGTAGTGATTAGCCGCGTGTGCCTCGAGTGTTCCGAGACTTGTTTGTTACTTACCAGCAGGAACGCCGGAGCGAACGTACATGGTGGTGACCTTGGCACGGCGGCGAGGGGGCTGCTGGGCCTCGTCGGAGCGGGCCTTGACCTTCTGCTGAGCAACAATAGCGCCGGCAGGGCGGGGTGCAGCGGGGGTAGCGGGTGCGGCCTCAGCGGCGCCTCCGGTTCCAGGACGAGCTGCTGCTTGCTGGTTGTTGTCGACGATCATGCCGACACCAGAGCCCTCCTTGCCAGTGCCAAGCTGGACCTTGGGTCCCTTAGTGAGGGCAACCTCGGCGTACTTCAGGGCGCGATCGAAACCGGAGAGATCGCGCTTCTCGGCGGGACGGGCTTTGGTAAGCTGCACACGGGGAGCGATCTCCTTGCCCATTCCTTGGAGGGCTGCAATGGCTTGGGCCTGGTTGGAGAGGTGATATGTTAGCTGATATTGGTCTGATAGTACTAGCGTCCGTGTGTGTCCCGTACACACAGACATGAGCCGCCCGAAAGCTAGAAGATTCCACTAACCTCGTTGATCTGGTTGTCCGCGGACGAAGCAGTCACCGGCGTAGCACCTCCGACTGAAGCAGCGGCTTGCTGAGCAGGCTGCTGAGGGGCGGCAGCCGGGGTAGCAGGTGCCGCGGGAGCGGCAGGGGCGGCGGCCGGAGCATTCGCAGCACCTTGAGCAGCATTAACTGCGGCGCCCTCCAGTACGTTCATCAACTGGGAGACGTCGTTTCTACCGCCAAATGAAATTTCACCATCACCCACCACCAAGGCAGGTGAATAAGCGCCCAAGTTGATGTTCAAGGGCAGAGCGTTGAGCTGAGCGGCCAGGCCGGCAACGGCGAAGATGTAGCGGTTGACCATCTTGTCGATCTGTTCGGGTAGTCGGTATGTCTTGGTGTGATTCGGGTAGAACGGCTCTTGGAAGAAGAGGCGAAGGGTGGTCTGCGGGACGGTGACACTAAATAATAGGCGTAGAGTTGTATAATAAGGACACGACCAGCGGAAGAATTGAAGAGAGCTTTTAAAAGTCTTGAAGAAGAGAGAGAAGAAAACCGAGAAGAGACAGGATACCAGTCGAGCACAGCTAAAGAAGAAATAGAAGAAAAGATCTGAAAAAAAGCACGAGAATTTAGCTTTCATATATTTCCCCACGAGCCAAGATGGATGAGTTGAGACTGGAGACTAGCCACATGCTTGAGACACAGCCGCCAAGATGCCAAGAGATAGAGTCCCGTCGAAAGCCTCAAGTCGGTCGTGGGCCCTCAGACATTAGCAGAGGGGGCTACCGTCTGGGGTAGGCTCTTGATCGAGTCGGTACGGAGGCGCAGGCAGGGGGTGGTCATCGTGGTCGAGGTGGGATTGCCCAGCTGGAAAGCTCCGAATAGCGCCAAGGGATGGCCGAGGGACGAGTAGGCTAGCGATGGTACATTGTAGACAATCCGCCCAGCGGGACTGGATATTGTTCAGCGTGAGGTCCAAGCAGTCAGCGACGCAGTCGAGGCATGAAACGCAGGTGACACCAGAGACAGGCAGCGAGCCAATTGGGCAGGTCGGTTTGGGATATCCATCTGGGAGGCCAGCCGCGGTCGAGTGTGCAAGAGGAGGGCGATTCGAGACCAAGCTTGACGGAGAGACCTGACTAGGAGGTCTTGGCATCGTCGCCGTGCCTCTATGCGATGGCCGAGAGATGTCAGGTAAGATGCCAATTTTGGCCCAGAGATCCACGCTCTGATGTTGCCAGGGCATGGGAGGGCATGGGTGACCCCCCGGGACGCGTAGACAGATCCGACTCGACTCTCTGGCAGATGGTCAAGGGACGCAGTATTTGCAGAGTGGGTCAGTCGCTCATGAGACTTTGCCAAGCACTCCTGCGATGGTAGCTGGGACGTGCACCACAACGATACTGCCCATTTCTCTGCGTCTCTCCGTTGATTTCTGCTTGGGTGGATGGGACGAAGGTGGCGGGTGAGCAGCAGCCTAGACGATACTCGGTGTTGGTGGATTTCGAAAGGATCAATTCAGAGGGCTCAGAATCCCGTGTAGCATCTAAGCATACCTTCATGGTTGTGCCAAGGGGCGGATTATTCTCTTGGCACTTGGCGGGTCGCCGTATGGCCGGTGTCGTCTTCCGTCTGGTACCATCTTTACTACTTGCTGCCCCCCTCAGCAGGGCAGACTATCGAGCATCGATGCAACGGCCAAGAAGCACAAGAGATCTCCCCGGTATTGGCGTTGTCGGGTGCCGCGGCGGATGGAGTCTCCAAGCCCGCCAAGTGGCCAAGGGCAATCAGCCACGTCCCGGCCGTGTAACCTCTTGGTCCGCGGCACGCCGCACAGGTGAGAGACGCATACTCAGGACGCAGAGCCGCTAAAGCTAAAGACTGAGGAAAGAGTGAATCGGGTTGTTTTCTCTAGCGAGTCGTGCACAGCGCTGTTCGGCCCGCCTTCTCTACCCAATTGCCGGGATGGTGTCCCTGGCGAATGTTTCCTCAACTCCAGGTTGCGGATGATGGAAAGACGTCTAGTGGTGGGCAGAGGGGCAAACGCATGACAGTCGTGCCCCGATGGTTTGCCAATTGTCAAGTGTCAGGAGGAGCCCCAAGAACCCCGTGGGACGGTACAAAGCGAAAAAAGGGTCCAACTGCATTCCGTGACAGAGTCTTGGGCCGGGTGGATGGAGAGAGACTGGGATGCAATGCAGAGAGGACAGACGAGTTCGACCGAGCATGGGGAGTCTGAGGTCGATTGACTGTGATTGCAGTGCGGTACCGTTGGAGTGCCCAGTGTCGAGTGCTGGATTTTCTGGCCTGGTGCGACACTCTCCCATACTTCTGCCCGTGTCTGAGACTTCGGAGTTGCGTGATAGTCGCCGTCGTAAGGATTCCGCTGATGGTGGTCGTCTGTACATTGTTGTTTGCTCGGGCTACGTTTTGTAGCCAAAATTAGCATTGGGAACCGGGGACATCAGACCAAGCCCCTATTTTCCCTAACCTTGAACGGGAAAGAGTCTGTTTTGCGGTTCTTGTGTAATGTGTACTCCGTATGGGCGGTTTGCGGCTTGCCCCGTGACACACCATGTTCGCGAGTCTTCAATGCAGGCTGGTGGGTTGAGGCCTGCAGGATATGCCCAGTTCGAAGCGAACATGCACGTGCCTGACCCGCCTGGTTTCCGGCGAGAAGAAGGCAAACGAACCGGGGGAGAGCCTGAAGGCATTCAGATTCCGCAAAGTCAATGAGCCGGAAGTCGAATCGGTGTCGTTGCCCATAATCAGGATTGCTGTCTGTGTGGTGCCTCATTGTTTGTATGGTAGGACCGTTGCAAAGACTTTGTTGGGTGTGGAAGGAAAGAGTTCGCGCTTGCCTCAAGGACAGGGCGAGGTTTCTAGGCTGCAAATAGAGACTCTGACAGGTTTTCTTCCTGCCTTGCCAAACGCCTAAACTCTGCTGACCGGCTCCTGCCTGTCACATCTACCTGCATCGCTCACCTCAGGTTTCTCACCAAGCGCATCCCGTGCGTGCCCTTTTTGCTCTGTACCTTACATCAAATCTGCATCCAACGTACGGACGTACCTCACAGAAGCTAAGGTATGGAAGGTTCTAACATTCGGCTAGATTTCTCATCAGCCTGGAAAAAGTGTGGCATCCATTCATTCTTGATTTGATGCAGCTAATCTTTGACTTGGCATTAGGTTAACCAGCCGAAAGGCTACAATGCGGCAGCTGTCGCCATCTTAGTGCACCGTCTGTGATCAACTGTCATCTCCTTTCCGCCATGTGGTCCGGCTTCGAGTGTGGAGGGAAGGAAGAATAAAGCTTCGTCCGGAAGAGACGGCGCGGAATGGCTGGTCTTGGGAGTCTAAAGTCTTGGAAACCAGCCTGTCAACCACTTGTGGCACGTCTTGGGCAGCGCGAGTCCTTCCGCATAAGCAACTCTCCAGCGGCCCCATTCCCAATGTTGCAGCTTCATTTTCTGGGGAGCAAGTCTCTCTTCGCCATTGGGTCCGCAAGCCGATGCTCAAAAGACAAGAGTTTACCAAGACCATCCATCGTCGCTCTTGGCTGCGTCCAAGTGTTGTCATTTCGTCCACCCTCTACGAACAGACTGACTCTAAATCTCTTGAGTCTGGGGGCCAAAACTCCGGGCAGCCTGGCCTAGATGGTAATGGCCGCGAATTCTGCACCGGAATCGTTTGTTTCGAGAATCGAGACCTGGTCAACACAAGCTTACTTGACTATTCCATCTTGGCTCTCGTCCAGAGTCGTAGTCTTACCCCTGAAGGCGTCCATGCACCCTACGATCCCATCCACCTGCAACGTTGGTCGTCGACAAATGTTGCCTCTTCCAAGTGCCGACAGAGGAAGAGGAGCCATGATGGCATGGGTTTGTCGCTCCAGCGAGAACGAACTCCCCCGTTCTACATGGACCCCGGGCTCGTTGGCCAGGAATCACAACGGCGGATGTTCCCAAGGGTTACACTCCTCGTCTTTGCCGATAATCGTCGCCCGCCCCGGTTGCGCAAGGCCCTACACACCAAAACACGCTTACCTCTTCGGACGGATGCACCGTCACTGCCTCAAGCTTTCTGTCATCCAAGCCCCTTGGACGCAAATCTCGGTGCTCACAGTCGGCCAAGCCGGTCAAACGGCACTAGAATGCAACTCGAGCGATTGTGACAGCACCAGCAGCCGCGGTGATCTCCTATGAGAGACCAGCAACAATTCCAGGCCGCGCACATTTGGTCTCATTCGTCGCATATCCTCCAGACAATCCGAAAATAGCCCTCGCGGGTGATCTGAGACGTTCGCGAACCTCGACCGCTATCTGATTGAACTCTTAGACGAACTGGTTTACATCGGTGCTCCATTCATGCGTTCGGACTACCTAGGCCAGCCAGCAACTCGGAACCTATTGCGAACGTTGTGGCGGGCTTCTAAAAAAGGGACTCTTCTAAAGGGCCTTCTAAGCAGCATCAAATGTCATTGTCTCAGGAACTCGCCTGTACGATGTACGGGGTAATTACCGCAAGGTTCCTCCAAGATGGACATATTGTCCGCCACCCTCTGGGTCTCTTTCTTGTTTGGTGGCTGGGCTGAGTGGATGGTCGAACCCAAGCTGTGCTGTGGGCTCCGTCCCCAAACGCACCCAAAACAGCGAAACATCGCGGGATATCTCCCTGGCACTTGCGCGTCGCTTATCGTACACGCCAAGGCCAACCCTCAGACGCGCCAGTTGGTCTAGCCGGTCTGGAAGACGCGGGAGGAAGGGGAGGACACCTTTTGATTGTCCCGGAGCCCTGGACCAATTCACCAATACAATGTCTTGACTCGTCTCCGCGTTTCCACCATCCACCATCCACGAGCTGTCTCTGGTAGCGCTGCCGCAGGTATCCTATATCGTGGACGGAATATTACTACAGCCGGTCCAGACGCTGCTTTGGGGGGGCTCTTGGCACCGCAAATTTCGCCTCAAACGTCTCTCGACGTCCGGACTAGTGTCCGCCCCCTTCCTCAACCAAGTTCTTACACTCACCATGCAGTCACCGAGACTTCACTTGAAGATAATCAGGGGAAATTTCCCTCATGCGTGCATTGCATTCACTGCACCTCAATTACTCGACAAGGCTCGACAAGTTGCTGAAATCATCGGATCGCCTTGCTAAGAGGTCGACGGAAAAGGATGATTCGCCGATCCCAACTTGTGACTGGCCAGCGCCAAACTGTCGTGCGGCGTGCCGCGCTGATGGTGCAGTAGCCGCGTCTTACAGTATGTCGCCTACGGAGTATCCGTACTGCGTACAGAATCCTGCTGCTGACAGGCATCAGCGCGAGCCGAACGTCAACTCATCACCGACGTAGTCTTCCCGCCTCTCTCATCCTACCTTACCTTGCCCATCCATAGCTATAGCGCCACCGGTCCATTCATCGTCTGACTCTTGTTCGATACCTCTTTGCCACTTTCGTTTTCTCAATCATGTCGGCGAAAAGCTTCGCTGAGTCGAACACGTTCTATCGGCCCTTTCACTCACGGCAGACGGAATCTTGGAGGAGGCCTCTCGTCCTCGCAGTCGTTCTATTTGTGCTCTGGTCATGGAAACTCAGTGAATGGTTCCATGGACGCAATGTAATCCTTCATCCAGAACAAGGCCCCTTCCCAGTCTTCACCGATTGGGATGACATACCCACGAGCGAGAAGCTCCTCTGGGTGCGATGCGAGCTACCCGGCATGTTTCCCCTTGGCCGTGGCTACATGTGCGCCCGATTGACCGTGCCGATGGATTATCAACGGCCCTTGACTCAGTCTGCCGATAATCCCAAGGTCCATGTCGCTATGGTTCTCCTCCCCGCTCTCGGTCACGGCCTAGAGACGGGGCGTTTCTCCGAGTCCCCGCTTCTCCTCAACCCGGGCGGACCCGGCGGGCCAGGCACCACATTCACCTTCCCGCCGTTCGGCCCCACTATCCAGGCCGCCGCCGGAGGCAGCGTCGACATCATCGGCTTCGACCCCCGCGGCATCGGCGCCACGACCCCACGGGCTGACTGCTTCGTCAACACTAAGCCCGGCGAGCAACCCTCTGCCGCGGCTAACAACCTTGCTTATATGCACAGACTGACCTGGCTGGCAATGGCTCACGACATCGGTCTGCCGAATTCCACGTCCGGCGCCTTGGACCAGCTTGCACAACGTGCCAGGGCGTTGTCCAAGCTGTGCTCCCAAAAGGACGTCGAGGAGTACGGATTCGAATACATGGCCACGCCTAACGTAGCGGCAGATATGAAGAGCATCATCGCCGCACACGACGCCTGGCTTGAGGACAACGGATTCGACACCACGCCACTCGGTGCCGACATGTTGTCACCCAGCGAAGCTGCTCCTCCTTCGACAAAGGGTAAGCTAATCTACTGGGGGTTCAGCTACGGCACGTTCTTGGGACAAACCTTTGCGGCCATGTATCGTAAGTGGCAGCCCAATGTCCTTCATGTAAGATAGTAAGGGCTGATCTTACTTGTGTTACACAGCTGATGCGGTCGGGCGACTCATTCTGGATGGCGTCGTTGATGCCAAGGAGTACGATATACCCGTGAGTTCGTATCTGTGATATATCATCGTTGTCCAGGTCACTTGGATGCTAAAAAAGGAGTGTTAGACGTGGATCTCAGCCATGCGAGACGCCGACGCAGTCCTGGAAAGGTTCTTTTACTACTGCCACCTTGCTAGAGACGCATGTGCCCTCTACCGTCTAGGCGACGGCGGCCCAGCGCAGATCAAGAAACGATACGAGCAGACAATGGCCAAGCTACGAGCTGATCCGCTCATCGTCGTCTCCCGCGCGGGACATATGCCCATCGTGCTACTGGAGGCCGACATCCGGAAGCTGCTCTTCACCTCGCTCTACTCTCCCACAAAGGTCTTTCCCTTGTTGGCTATTCTGCTGAATCGTCTGCATGTGGGCGATGACCTCTCCGATGTGGTGGTTGCGCCTGATTTCGGCTTCACCTGCGACGCGGATCTCAAGATGGTCATTTATCCCGAGGAGAGCTCCAAGGCGATTGGATGCAGTGACCGGAGGTATATGGTGAGGACATATGTGAATCAAGGTTAGGAATACCATATGCTGACGGGCCTCTCCATCAGCGTAACGAGACGTTGGAGCAAGTCTTTGACAAGGTATCCAAGGTCACCTCTTTCGCTGACGTCGTAAGTCCCATCAGCCAGGCTTACCAAGAACTGTATATAATCAGCTGACTTCCACGCGCCTCAAGTTCTTCCCTCTCATGATGCACTGCGAAGGCTGGGACATCCAAGCCAAATTCCCCTCCCCGGACTGGGACGCGAACCTCGAATCCCCCGACCCCGTAAACACCTCCTTCCCGATCCTCTTTGTCGGAAACACCCACGACCCCGTCACGCCGCTGGCCCAGGCCGTCGGCGCGTCCCGGAAATTCGTTGGCGCCGGCGTCTTCGAGCTCGAGGCCGAGGGTCACTGCACCCTCGCCGCGACCTCGATCTGCGCGATCCAGAAGATGAGGGCATACCTGCACAAGGGCGTCGTGCCGCCGCCGGCTTCGGTTGCCGCAGACGGACGGATTGCCGGGTGGGATAAGTGCAAGGCCGACGAGCGGCCTTGGAAGCCTTTCCCGGCTGAGATGGCGACGGAAGAAGAAAAAGGAGGAGGTAGAGAGGGGGTACTGCACGCGGAGGACTTGTACGTCTTACAGGGGTTGAAGGAGGTGCATGCCGAGATTATCGGCCGGTTGACGCCGCCGTTGAAGCTGCGTTTGCAGTAAGGGCCTGTCCGAGGCCGCCGTCTTCGCCGGACTTTTTGAGACCATGTTTTGCGAAAGACTGGCATTATCGTACGTGTTGGGCGCCTCGGGGACAATTCGGCTTCAGCTAGCACGTTGTGGCATTTCTCGATGTCACGATCGGAAGAAAACATGTGGAATTCTTCTGGATGCAGTTGACCCTACATCGCAAGTTCGCCGGCGCGCGGCGAGGGTGATGTGAGCAAAGTGGGATGTGATGGTGTGCCTTCGTGATGCCCGATGTCTGCCCGATATTGTCTTACTCTCACGTGTGTGAAGGGGGAGACCACTTGGACTGGAGAGACCATTTAAGATCGTCACAGATGTGCCGATGACACCCATGTTAGACTCCCAAGGAAGGTTTGAGGCCATCTAGTTTAAAACTTTAATCAAGTTGGGCGGTGTTGTGCGTGCCAGCATGTAAACATGCGAGAGGCTTTCCATGGCATGGGAGTCCTGCACAGGATGCTCCCATCAGCGCCGGCAGATATCTCATACCAACAGGTGAATACAGCTTATGTGCCGCGTAGCCTCGAGATTCCTTAAGCCAGGTGGTACTATCTAGACGATGGGGTTGGGTTTTAATTTGGCACCTCGGCACCCTTTCACTTGACAGAACATCAACGCTGTCCGACAGCCATGCTTCTTGACTGCCACATGTGGATTCTGTTGGTGTCACGGTGTAAACTTCCTCCTCTGTCCACTGGATCTTATGGGTTCCATTTGATTTTCCACACAGCATCAGCACCGTAAGCGGTATTCAAAGTCCCCTCAATTCACGCATGGCCCCAGTGATTTTACGCCTGCGGTGTAACCTCGATGAAGGCGGTGATCTGCCGTCTGCGGGGTTTGACCATGTCATTTCGGTTCCTTGTTCGCCAGATCTGTTCTTCCACTTGGAAGTGTATACAGACACTGGAAGTGTATCCAGATCCATTGGTCTCAGGTCCAGATCCATCATTCATTTCGAAGCAATTCAAGGTCGCTGGTGTAAGGCACGAACGCCATTTGGAATTGGAGTTTATGTGTCTCCACTGGACCGATGTGGTCCTGTGAGAGAGGAAGAAGGGGATGGGGACGTCGTTCGTTCGTTGCTATCTATCAATCGTATATTTCTGGTTCTCGTTAGCAGCTGGTAGTTTGAAGATCTTATGTGACGCCTTCAGACTCTGGGGAGATCGAATCCTGGAGCGTGTCGCCAGTGACTATGGCAGAACTGGCATGTCGGATGTAGTCCACTCTGTTTGTCCTCTTGTGGTGCCCTCCCATCAATGACCCTATCATCAATGAGTTCAGTAAGTGGGAGACGAGAGATGTGAAGTAGAGAGAACAGAAGGTGAGGAATTGAAAAGTTGAGATGGGAAAGTAAGACTACCTCTTCTCGGGTGAACGAATATCACTCTTGAGCATGTTTCTCCTCGGTGCATGCTTGCCCAGTCTTCAAAGCTACACATGCTTGACCTGCTACAGCCATTCTCTGCAAGCGCACCTCGTTCCAGGCAGATTCTCCCGTGCTAACCAACAAAGGCAGAATAACAACCAACTTACCCCTCAGTCAAGGGCACGGCCACCGAGCGGTCTGCCCCTGGAATCCGAGACCTGAGGTCGAGATTCGAGATGCCCCGCGCCCCCGTCGCCGAACGGACTTACCCGCCGATGCGGTCGATGACCAACTGTAGCATCGATCATCAGGGGTTGAGAGAATCGCTACACGGAGAAAAGCTGGGTAGGCGGGGCCACGCCAGGCGCGCCTTAGCGTCCACGATCGACGCATCGTTCCATATCTCGGTGCCGCTTCTCCTTGTGTCTTCTGCACGGATAATTCGATCGGGCGCATTCCCCAAATGCAACAGCCCGCGTGCCCATGGAATGGCATGGAGGGGTAAAGCCAGGGGCGCCGACAGCTGCATTGACCAGAAAGACACGCGGCGAGAAGCTATTGAAGGACAGTTCGTATGAGGGGCCTAACTTAGGACAACGAGCCGCGGCTTCGTTTGAGTCTCGGGTTCAGGCTAGAGTTGACAAGCACAAGGCGTAGCGACGTTCAAGGGAGCTAGGACTGTCAACAAGCACTGACAACAAGCTTACACGAGGAACTCAGAATTGGGTCACCAGCCCAACAAAAGCTTGACGACGTAGCTCTAGAACGGCGGCGGGGCTACAGGTTACTCCGAGGCTCATGTCCTGACGACGCTAGGCCCCGCTGATTGACATAACACGGCCTTACCTTATTGAGTGGAATGCGGACGGATATGTTGGAAGCAGTGTCTAAGAATGAGACGTGCCCAGCCGAGGGGGAGAAGAGGGGTAGCAATCGGGTTCCTCAAGGTCCGCGGTAATAGTGGCTTGAGTGCTTCAGAAGCAAGATGTACAATGAGAGCGACTACTGATGTGGTTTTGGCGATGTCGTTGCTGTGACGTAGTTTCCGTGGGACGTTTTCGGATTCGGGAAGTCTGACAATGGAGACACGGTATAAGCAAACCGGGAGGAGGCAAACGTCGCGGCGAGGGGCACGAGATCAAAAGCTGGTGTACGTAGGCGAAGATCTGAATGAGAGTGGATACGATGTGCAACGCGGCCCAGCAAAAATTCCGCATGTTGTCGTGCACGAATTCTATCAACCGAATTGATGGCGAGGTGAGACGGTACGAGCAGATGCGCCTGATATTCTCCCGTAAGAAAGTACTTGCTCTGTTGGGAAATGCATCGGTCTTTTCCTCGCATCGTATTCGTCCGTCCAAGGGGTAAAGCTGGGCCATGCCGCAATTGTGGCATCAGCATCACATGAGACGCAGCGTGGAGAATCCCCCATCCTGCAGGACAATCAGCAGCCTTTGACCGGAGAAGAACGTCCGAGCATAAAGCTGAGAGTGAAAGAGTGTACCAATAATAAGGTATGGAGCAGGAGGCAAGACTTACGCAGTAAATGGAAGGGAAGGAGACGGGCCTTCTTCCGCATCGTGTTGTGATTGTTCCCAGTGGCTCGTTCATCGGGGATCTCGATGACATACAGGCGTGCTTGCTGTGGAGGGGCGAATCGGGAAACAGTCAACTGTTTCGTAGGTTGCGGGAATTCGCCGGGCTGCGCAAGTGCAAATTGAAATCCGCATCTTGCCGCATCCAGACGACCGACTCCATACTCCAGAAGGCGGAGGGGCCGACGCGGACTCTGGGGGTTGGCAGCTGCGATGTTGTCTGGATTCTCGAACGCTTTGGGCGGTCCAGAACGGTCCTTGGGTGGCTTGCTAGGCTCAAAGCACAAAGCTACCTGGCGGTGTCGTCACTTCGCATGGAGCTCTATTGTAACGCAGCGAATCAGCAACACGGTGGTTGGCGCTGTCCAGTAGGCTCACTGATTTGTGCTCACCCGGTGAAGCTGAGTTCATGTGGTTGATGCTTGTTCATAGCTCTCCCGTCCCGTCGAATCTGCTTTTACTGCTTGCCCTCTTTGCGCTCATCGTGTGATCCACTGTGGCTGCGAGCCTGCTTGGCTTCCGTGGGTGAGACCGGGAGAGTGTGGATGTGTTTTCCAATAATGGGAGATAATGGGAGATGATGTCCCGGAGAGGGTGGGGAAAGTAGACAGCATGATCGAGATTTGCAAAAATGCCATCCTCTCTGAAGACAGGACGTGTAGCCTGGTTGGCTCGTCACTGCTCGCAATCGACACACTGACGTATTTCGGTGGCCAGCATTACGCGACTGACGCGAGAATGGACATGTCTTCTTTGCATGTGGCAATGGTTGTCTTTGCTGCAAACGCGGATGGGCCAACGACAATGCAAGTCCCATCGTATCGTGCACCTGGAGATGCAAGTGGGGTCCTTCTGTGGCATGGGGCCGCAAAAATTTAGAGTACGGATACCGCAAGTTACGTATGTATCGTGGGATGCTGAATGTGGAAGCCCAGCCTCAGGCCCATATACAATAGGTCCACCATCCAGGTCCATGCGGGGACACTACGAATTCCGTGCCTACCCACCTAGGTATGACGTTAGTGCGTCTACGTCCTCCTGACGTCACTTTGGGAATGCACGGTAGGCAGCTTGCCCAAAGCTCCTGCAGGTTGCAAGAGCTGTATGTAGCTCTCCCCATCTGTGGCTGGTGCGACTGCCAAACAGACATGGAAGGTCCGCAAGGAGCCACCTGGGCCACCTTTTGGTCATTTTCGATAGAGATCTCCCTTTGGCTTCTGGGCATTGTCCATACGATCCATCCTCAACTCCCACTAACTGGAGTAACTGCGAGGGATGTCACAGTCTATGACGACATTTCTTCAGTTCACATGATAGACCCTGAGCGTCTTTGCCAGATGGGGTGAAACTGCGCTCTAGCCACGAGTGGGCAAGCCCAGAGGAGGAGCAAGACACGCGCAGGGAGAGACAAGCCCGATAGGCACGGCCCAAACTATTGCATTCGGGAACTTGACAAGGAATCAAACGAGGGGGAGGGGCAGACAGACGGAGGGGCAACCCGCGATGTACCTTCCCATGCTATGATGGAGCGGGAGGTACCTCCTTCCTTGAGGTGCCGTTGTCTCCCATCCGTAAGGTGCCTTCCTTCCTTACCGACGGGTATTCGAATGATCGAACTCAACCTGTCAGCGGGGCAACTTCCGCAAGGCAGAAAGGCACCACGCCGAAAAGAGGCAGCAGCTGCCTTCCCTCCATACGAGAGGGCGCCTCGAGACTGCTGCCAACTTGTTATATAAACCTCTGCTTCCCACCACGTCTACCAACCTCTCTCTTCTCTTCATCACACTCACAATCAATCAACCTTCAATACAAACAAACAACACCACCAACCAACCAACCAAACAACCCAACCTACTTCACAATGGAGACCATCAAGAACGCCGCCAACTACGTTTCCGAGTCTGTCCAGCAGGCCGGTGCCACCGCCTCCAAGGAGACCAACAAGCAGGTCGCCAAGGATGACAACGTCTCCATCGGCAACCGGTATGCCTTCTCCCTTCCATCTTCATGATGACTCTCGACTAACATCTTTCTTCAGTGCCTCCGCCGCCAAGGACGCCGTTGGCGACAAGATCGACGAGTCCAAGCACGACTTCAAGGGCGAGGGCTACAAGGAGCAGGCCAAGCACTAAATCATTCCCACGATACCCAAACACCAGGGAATTTTCAATGGGCAGGCGTTTGGAATGGATCGGGACACGCAATGAGGCAGGAATACCTGGGAATTGATCACGGATCTTCTACCTAGAATAGCTTTTAATGCCACTGCATTGCTAAGATCACATCGAGTTCCTAGTTTAAGGGTGACACTTTCCACACCTGTGCATGCATGTTGTTTCTCAAGGCACTTCATTGCAAGCAGTCTGTTTTA